TGGAAAAATCGACCCGACTGTCCTGAATACTGTCGACACTAGCGCGAAAAAAAAATATACATATAAAGAAATCCGCGGCGAATAGAGAGCGTTCAAATGGAAACGGGGCAAAAAAAAATAGGATTCATGCTGAATCGTTGACTCTTGACAATTGGAAACAGTTTTTTTTTTTCTATCTATTGTGAAATAATAGAAAGACTGTATATACGGAAGGATGTTTCCGAGTAAGAATGATTTATTTCTTCTAATTATTGTAACTTAGGTTTGTGAGAGAGAGAAAATTGATCGAGAGGACCAGGTAGGAAATTAATAGGGAAGAATTAGTATTCTGAAGGTTCGAACCGGAGGAGAATACTTGGATGATAATAAATAGCGAAGTAAATGTAGAAGTAATCTTTTCGGAACACGAGCAACCCAGGGATTTTCTTCCTAAATGCACGTATCAGAGAGTCGGGCAATTTCTCTCGGAGCTTATTAGATTTTCTGCCAGGTACGCTTGTACACCTTCCCGTTGCCCTACAATATGGCCACCCTTTAAAGGGAAAGGGAATATTGTCCCCTATCCTAAAATCCAGATGAAATCCTCTTTTCACGACCGCGTATGCCCTCAACGTATCACGGAAAAATCGTCCCAGGATACTTCTTCTTTCCTCTACAAAAGGAACACATCCCGACAAGATGTCCGCGTATTTATATTGTGCAACCCGTCTCCGTGCTACACACGCTGTGAAAACTATCTCTACTTCCATGTTCCCTCTCAGCAGAAATTTCTAGGTGAATTCGTTGATTTACCATATTCTCGTGTTCCTTTCGTGTGAACGTGATAAACATAAACATGGGAAATTTGCGTAAAATATTCTGCTTCGAATGGGATATTCTAAATAAAAATATCGATCACGTGGAAAGTATAATGTTTATACAATGGAGATTTAAATGCATTTTGAAGTACAATCTATACTGTGTTTTACGAACATTGACTTGAAAAATGATAAGAAATAATAAATAAACAGTAGCAGATTGCTGTATTAGGTCGTGTAATGTTAAATGTCGAATTTCAATATCGATATCGTCTTGATTGGCAATTTAAGTTACTTTTCGTATAACTTGTAATAATTTGTAACATTGCACGATTGTATTAAACTGCTAACGATAACCGGTAAAACGAGAAAAAACTTCTATAGAGACCAAATAAAGCCAAACTTACAATACGACGTTACACCATAACTCGCCGCCATCTTTAATCTACTCGTCTCGCCGTAGTTGGAATAAACTGCTCGTAAACTGGCCTTACGTACCGAATTAATTCGCCAGTTTCTAGCAAACGAGCGAGTAAAATGCATTTTTACGATTCGTTTGATCGTCACGGTTGCAAAGTGGCCCAGATCTAGTGTCTTTCTAAATCGCGATAGCGACATATTCTAGGCGAGGAGGTACGAAACGTTGAATACGATCGTATCCAAGTGGAGTGGCATTATGCGACGACAATGCTGTAATCAAGCCTGGTCTCTTTGCCTTGCAAAAAAGGATTGCTTCCTTGACTTTGCCAACGGGCTTGGTCGCCGTCTTCGCAGCGTCGCCCTCGAATTTTTCAACGCCTCGACGCGACGGTCTGTTGAACCTGGAAGTGTACACTTGGCAAAGCGTTAATTGCACACGGACAGGAAACCTAGTACGCCAATCGCCTCGTTCTCCTTCTTTTCTACGTTCCTCGTGGCTTAAGTGACGGAATTCGACCGGTGCGAGAGAAGAATCGCGTCGGTGACGTTAATTGTTCTCGTCGAGTGTGATTTTGGTTTGTGGAAGCTATCGCGAGAGTGATTCGGAATTTTCAGATTCGGGGGAATTTTTTAGGAGTGATAAAAGTGCGAAGAAAACGGAAGGGTTAATTACTCTCGAGAGTACTCTCAGATTGTGTCCAGCTCTTCGTCAGCACTCTCAGTACTGTATACACCGATAAATTTGACTCTCGAGAGCTACTCGCGATAGTTTTAAATACTCTCAAATGGACAGGCGCCCTGAAGTCGACCATAGCTCCACGGAAGTCTCACGAAGTTAGAGAAAGAGGGAGAGTATTTGAGAGTTGGGGTGTATGTTCATCTGAGAGTTTCTTTACGATAGGAGTACTTTCAAATCGTGTCTCCAACTCTCTATCAGTACTCTCAATACCTGATAAATTTGACTCTCGAGAGCAACTCGCGATAGTTTTACCCCGAGGATACTTATCCAACTGAGAGTTATACACACAATCTGAGAGTACTCTCGAGAGCAACTATCGTAAAAGACTCTCAGATGCACACGTACCCTTACAGAATCAGAATTTTGCATAAGAAAGTCTTAGAAACGACTGACTACAGAATATTTAAACAATCCATATTACAGTATATTCCAGCACAATCGTTATTTCCATTCTACGTATGAAACATAACCTAACCTACCCTAACCTAATATCCCTACATACGTTATTTTTCCGATCACGGTCGTTTGATCACATTTAATTGGTCGTTATCGTATGCGGAACATCTGTATTCCAATTTATAATAGCGTATCTCGAATATTTATCATGTCACAGAGTGTGTTTTATTGAATCACCGAGATTTTAACTCGTACAATCTTCACTCCACGAGTAAAAAATTAAACGCCTAAATTATACGACTTAGTACTCGGTGCATAATTACCGAAACGAGAACAGCTTATATTTAGTTTAATTAAAATTGCGGTCACACTTACATTGTCGGTGGAACAGAGGGTTGAACTGGCGAAACCGCAAACTGCAGGGACAGGGAACACAACAGACAACCGAGGCCGCACAGTTTCGAACCGAAAACGTAGTGAAAATTCCGTCCTTGCTGTTCCACGTTTCACAGCACACTGAAGGAAAAATAACGAAATTTCTGAAAACGACCTCACGTACGACCGTTAGCCTACACAACATATCGTGCAATGTTTGGGATATTTTGTTTAACATCGCGAGAATGTCCCCACCCCACCTCTGCCAACCGAGACCTACACGTTCTGTGTAAACAAAGCTAAATTCTAACTAAATGTTTATCTAAATTGAACTTCGAGTGAGACTAGAAAAAACTGTCACGTTTCGAACGAACATGTTAGAATGTTAATTGAAGTGTTAGAACGATGTTGAAAAAATATGTGAAAGTATTTAATTGTAGAAAAATATCTGTAGGGTGGAATTCTTGAAATCTTAATTTTCTCTACAGAAAAATATTTATAGGGTGGAATTCTTGAAATCTTGAAACATCTATAGGGTCGAATTCTTGAAATCTTAAAATATCTACAGGGTTGAATTCTTGAAATCTTAATCTTCTCTATAGAAAAATATCTGTAGAGTGAAATTCTCGAAATTTTAATCTCCCTTTGCACGAAAATTATTCTTTTTCGCTTAATGAAAGTTCCATTTTCGAAAATTGTCGCGTACCATCGCTATAGCCCATAATTCTCGACACTTCAATCTTCCTATGCGCATATTTCGCACGAAGATCATTCTTTTCTCGTTTAATAAAAAAATTGTCGCGCACCATCGGTATACTGTCCGCTGCACTCCCTAATATTTATTTCAATTAATTTCTACGTTATAATTGGAATTTTATATTTGAGCATCGCGCAGTTTCCAATTTGCTCGTTGCAAAAAAAAAAAAAAGGAAACGCACAGAGAGAGAGAACGACGAGAGGAGCAGTGAAAATAAACGAAACTGCACATGTTCCCTCGTAATTAATAGATTGTCACGCAGGCAGTAATGTAGTTTCAGCGGAATTAACTTCGCAGCGTACTGCAAATATTAACGAGTGCAATCGCAAAATGTAAATACACGTGGCAGCTGTGGCAGAATCGCGAAAACCAGAGTGAACCGCTTCGTCATACGGATGCTCGACAGGAGGAGGGTTGGAGAACACACTGAGGGAGGGATGATATATTTGCTTAGACCGTAGGGTTGAATTACGGTTCACTTGCAGGATCGTGTGTATCTGTCGATTTATCGGTGAAATTCAATACCTGATTGCACCGTCTTCTTTAAATTATTCACACCATTGGGAACCTCCGTCTGAGAGTAACACACCTTGATACTCTGTAGCCTAATCTCAAGCGTTAGTCACCTTATTTTTCACTAACTTTCCAGCGTATTACTCACTCGAACAAAACTAGCCTGAATAGACAATTTAACCCTTACTCACCAACCCTTCCAGCTTTAGACCCTAAGTTACATATAGGAAAGCAATTACTATAGTTAAGATCAGTCAGAAAGATTTCTGTTTCGATATTAAAAATTCTGTAAATCGTATCTCTTACACCTAAACGGTATAAAACTTACACCAACGAGTCCCTGAAGAGTGTTAAATCCACAGAATTAACACCGCCGACGTGCTCGTCACGAGCTCAGGAGTTTGCCCGTGGAAGAAATGCGGGTCTGATTGGATTCGTATCCCCATAAGGCCACCTTTTCTAACACAATCGTAAAAATAAGGCACACGTATTGTCCTTATTAACTGAACGTGATAAAATCGACGAAATGGATCATATAGCACCTTATGGCGGAAAATTCGGTCGAAGTTGCCCTTCTTGCCCTTGCACTGCCCCGCGGGCAAACTCCTGAGCACCGCACAGTATTTTTACTCTTTCACATCAAATTCTGCAATTTTCTTCTCTGTAAACTTTCATTCGTCGACTACGAGTCTTCTCTCTCGTAAGTTTGATAAACAGACATTTTTTTATAATATTTCACAGACGGAATTATATATTTGACGATATTATAATTGCCGGAAGGTAGGTTGCATTTTATGGCTGGTTAAAACGAAGCTGTTGCACAGCTGTTGTCGGGACGAATGGAAATTTAATTGAAGTATAATCAAAAATGTCGATTCTCTTCACGAAGGAAGGAGAAGAGCTCGAAAGCGTATAGAACAGATATTCTACTTATAAACAGAGTAAATATGAAATTTCGTGTATTTCTAAGGTTGGTAAATCTTCGATCTACTTTTTATCGCAGACATGACTGACAGAGGGACGAAGAAATTCGGCGATGACTGCGTGGAGGACCGCGAATGCGGTTTCTCGGGGTCCTATTGCGAGCCGAAGAAGAACAAGTGTACGTGCAGGGATGAGTTCGAGGCAACAAATCATATCGACAAATGTGGACACCGTAAGTTAGTATATTTTCAAGCGTGCCGGCGCCCAGGCACTTCGTAAGTGTCCTCGTCCTCCTGTTGGATCTCGCCAGAAAGTAATTTCACGTAATGCTTCTCTTGCACATAAATTACTGTTTCTTAAAGAACAAAGTCTTCGAATTTTTTTCGATTTCATGGAAAGTGCAGCCCCTTTCTTCTATTGCTTACCCAAAAATTTAGAATTCTAAGGGAGAAACACCATAAGGATGACGCAGGAATGTTTCGTGCACTGAAATTTCTATCGTTATTCGAGAGAAAATTTTAGCTTAACAAAAAAAAGTTTGAAAAATTGAGAAATCCTTGATGTTCTTACGAATGTATAATAATTAATCATATTATTCGACGGTCCTTCGAAAACCATCGGGACAGTAACAGAAGAGAACGAAGGAGATATAGGATTATGATAGACGGTTAATAATCTAAATGACGATGATGGTTTCGAAGGTGGAAAAAGAGGACAGAGAGTAGTTTCAGTCGAGTCACGTTCAGAGAACGGAAGCTGCACCCTTTACCGACGTCGAGTTTTACGATCGGAATGATATGAATGTCCTGGGGATGGTTGCTTATGGCTTTCTCTCTTGGAATCCAAACGAGGCTACGAGCTTTTATTGGTCTAGGACGTCGGAGGCGCCGCGGCGAGAAATTGGAAGCAGGGACGACGAATTCAGTGTCCCAGATTGTGCTCCATCGATGCGTTCGATTTTTAATTGAGTTTTCTTGGCGAACTTATGCCAATTCTATACGACTTTCATTCCATTCAAACGAATCCAATTCTAATTCTCTTGCGACTTATGCTAATTTTAAATTGCCTCCAAGGATTCTTTCTTTCAAACGCGAGACCATAATTGGAGGAATATTTACGAACGAATTTTAACCCTTTGAATATAAATATGTCTTCGTCGAATCACATTAGCGTACATTTTATTTAACCGTAGATAATAAAAATTTGCAAAAAGTGGTTCCATCGTGCGTTCTAAGCTTTATCTCTCGATTAATTAATCTGTACGTTCAAGTAAGAAATCTAAATTAATCTTGTCAGTTTCACGAGAAGATCCATTATCCTCCAGCAAACCGATTTGTTACCAGTTTCAAGTTCCAGAAGGAAAAATGCACGAGTTTCGCCAGTGATCCGCGAAAGAAAGGGCAAGAACAGTTTCTGGTCAGGATTAAGCCGTTCTCCTAATTGCGAGCCTGTGGTCGATATATCGAGGACACTGCGGCGAATAATCAGTCGATCATATTCGCCACATAAACCTCTGAGCGTACTCCGTGTCCCACAGCTTCGCTAAGAAGAGAATAATCCCTTCTTCTATCAGACATCAATGAAATTAACGAAATAAATCGTTCAAATAGACCTTCTCGACAGAACTTAGTCCATACAATCCAACATTTTATTCGTATTTTCTCTTTTCAAAAGTTTCACTACAAAAGTCACCATCCTATAAAAAAATGCTCCCAATGCAGAGTTAATATTGGAAATTTCTGTCGTAAAAACTTATGCGACAGAGTGTCTGGCGCGTTTCGACTCCTCATCTTCTCGCATTTTTCTCGCCTCCCTTGTCGAAATATATTCGCTCCGACATCTGACCGATTTTACCTTCTCTCTACATTTATTCAAGCAACTATATACATCCCACTCTCGACCTAATCGAATTTCACCATTCAAATTGAGTAACGCTAATTTCATAGGACGAGACCAAAGTGACCCCTACAGTGATGGACAGCAGCTTAGACGTCACACTAGGGCATCGGATCATCGCACGATAATTGTCCGACGTATCGACAATGTCCCGAGACAACAGCGAGCTTCTGTTTGCCAATGATATTATAGACAGGACAGCACAACCTGGGAGACTTACAGTCTACCCGTGAATCAGAACCGAATAGTAGAACGTCCGTAAAAGGAATTGACGTCGTTCTATGTAATTTACAAGTTTATTCCGTGGCGTGTGCAAAACTGTCTGGGAAAACTAGGATAAAATGGCTCCAACTTTCCATTGCAAAGGGCGGATTGCGAATGCGACCGAAGACCTGATTCCAACTAAACCTACATATAGTCACGCTGTAGTTTGTACAAACTTAGATTAGCAACATTTCCTTCGAATTAATACAAAGCTTCGTAGATCACATGTAGTGCTCTAAATTCAATTTCTCACTGTTACCACGAGTTAATTCTTTACTAAGAGACAGATTACCGAAGCATGCGACGTAAGTCTCAACACGAAGTAACTCTTCGATTATCCTTCTGAAAAATCTCAAGAAAAATCATTCAATTTGCAAAGTACCTCGTCGAGTCACCAAAGCAGAATTTCAACAGGAAAAAAATCCTCACAGATCCAACCACTTTATCTCTCTCTCCCTTTGTCAATTATTTACACCCTACTTGAAAACCCGCGTACAACAAACACGTCGAGTGAC